CAGGTGAAGGCCTATGGGAATTCGTAGTCATGCCGTTCGGACTAGTAAATGCTCCTGCGACATTCCAAAGACTAGCCGACGCATTATTCGGACCAGACTGGGAACCACAAGTATTCCCATACCTGGCCGACATCATAATAGCCACTGACAACTTTACAGACCACACGAAGTACCTCGAACTCGTGTTAAGACGCATAAATAAAGCTGGGCTACAGATAAATGCGAAAAAGTGCGAATTTGGCTGTACAAGACTGACATATTTAGGATTCCTACTAGACAAAGAAGGCTTAAGACCAGACCCTGACCGTACGAAGGCAGTACTTGGATTCCCAGTGCCAAAAACAGTCAAACAAGTGCGCAGTTTCCTAGGTATGGTCGAGTGGTATTCTAGATTTATAAAGAATTGTTCAGACATTAAGATACCACTACAGAAGCTGCTAAAGAAACACCAGGTATTTAACTGGGGACCTGACCAACAAGAAGCGTTCGAGAAACTCAAACGATCACTGACAGAAGCTCCAGTACTTGCCAGACCAGACTTTAGCAGACCATTCACCGTACAAACAGACGCAAGCGATTTTGCAATAGGAGCAGTACTGACACAAGAATTTGACGATGGCGAACACCCCATCGCTTATATAAGCAGAACACTGACCGGGCCAGAGAGAAACTACTCAGTAACCGAGAAGGAGCTTCTAGCAGTCATGTACGCAATAAATAAACTCCGACCATACCTAGAAGGATACGACTACACCGTTATCACTGACCACTCAGCCTTAGTATATTTATTTAACATAAAAGAACCGAAAGGCAGACTAGGACGATGGACTTGTGATCTAATGCAAGAGAGAGTGACCTTCAAACACAGGAAGGGTACACTACACCAGATACCAGACGCGCTATCCCGCATGGACGAGGAAATCAAACAGATAGCAGCATTTCAGACTATACAAGACAGCTGGTATGTAAAAAGGCGAACGGAGGTTAAAGAAAAGCCCGACAAATACCCCGACTGGAAAATAGAAGACAACATGCTGTATCACAGACGCTTTGACCCGCTTTTAGACCCAGTAACAGGCGGCGAAACAACCTGGAAATTAGTAGTACCCGACGAACATCAGACGCAAGTCATGAAAGACGCACATTGTTTGACATCTACAGGCCACCTGGGCGTAGAAAAGACGTACATGAGGATAGCCCATGAGTATTATTGGCGAGGAATGTATTCAGACACATACAATTTCGTCACGAAATGCCCTCTCTGCCAAAAGTTTAAATCCAGCCAACAAGGCCCACAAGGACTCATGGGCAAACGCAATATTGACCGACCATGGGCAGTGGTAGCAGCAGACACTATGACCCGGCCCGACCAACCACCACCATCATACCGGGAGGCCACCGAGGGGCGACACTCGCGGCGAGACGGACCCGCCGACCTTCACCGCCGGCCGCGGGACGAGCCCGCCAACAATCAACACCCTCGGCGGGACGGGCCCGACCACCGCCACCATCCAGGCCGGCGGGAAAGGTCCCACAGCCGCCACCACCACCACTCCAGCCGTGGAACCAGCCCTCCCCGGTGGCCATCACACCACGGGTCCCGGAGGTCGGCCCGCCACTCTACACCATCTGAGGACGACTATACAGTCAGCCCGGCCGACCTCCGGGAGTTTGATCGGATGCTGCGGGCCATGGAGGAGGTCGAGCGTCAGGAGAGCCACCACCACCACTATCGACAACAACAATGCCGCCGCCGATAGACGGCTTATGTATCGGGGCCAATAAACGGCAGGGCGAACCCTGACAAAAATAACCTTCCGCCCTGTCATTTATTGACCTTCCCGAACTGACACCCTGACACAGCCAAACCCTGGACACCGGAACTGACTTGCCGACCATCTGACCGTGGAAAGGACCAGGCTGACCCAACCGACGTTGCTGACTAAACTGACGTCCTGACCTGGCGGACAACCTGACACCGGAGCTGACCTCGCTGATTCATCTGACATTGCCGACCATCTGATTTCTGACATCTGACTCTGATTTTTTTTTATATTTAGCAAACTTGTAGCGGACACCGACAGCTGACCAGAACCAGACCTCGGACCAAGACCTACCCTACCGTGGGGACCGCCGAATAGGCCAAAAATTGGTAAGACCCCACGATACCTCTGAAGGCCGGCGCGAGACGGCGGGAGGAGCCTACCATGGAACCCTCCAGCTCGGCACGCTACTAGTGTGCCGGCTAGTGGGGGGTATTGTAATGAGGCGCGCAGCAGAAGCTCGCACCTTCTGCTGCCCGTGCGCGCCCTTGCCCTATGCCCACCCGTCTCGCGACCGGCCGCATAAATTGCGGCAAGGCCCACCCTCTAATGCGCGCCCCTTTTCTTCTCCCTGCAACGCCCACGACCGGAGATACGGGCGTTACAAGGACACAGACGGCGTCCGACGGCAGACGCGAGGAGGCCGCACCAACACATATACAAAACGTGCAGCTTCCCGAGGCACGTACCCGAGAAGCTGCCACACGTGGCTTTCCAGCCACACACACACACACCGACGTAGCTCGCCCTTGGCCAGGACGAGGCTGACACCGCCGACGAAGACAGTCCACCGGGAGCCGGCGATCAGCTGATCGGCCGGCTACTACCGGTGGCGCGCACACACACTGACACTGCTGAGGATGACGACACCTGTGGCCACAGGTGTCGCCAATGAACAACAACCGCACACACACACACGCGGACCTGGACGGCGAGCGAGCGCTCCAGGAGGCGCCGAGAACGACGAACGCGAGGCGCGACGAGCACGTGTGCGAGCGGGCGCGGCCATTTTGGACGCCGCACATGTGCCGCGATAGCGTGTATGAGAGCGAGAGAGAGGGAGAGTGAGTGGTAGCGCGGCGGAGAGAGATAGAGTAGGAGAGCGCGCGCATATGCGAGACCGACAAGGAGGGGAGCGCGCGAGATAGCACTAGAGAGAGGGAGCGAGAGAGAGATAGAGAGAGATAAAGGAAAATACTAATTAAAGGCACTAGCGGCGCGAAGTTTCCGACGACTATTTTAAATTACTGACCATGCGCACTACCGAGAATACCGATAAAACAGACACACTGACTTATACATATGCAAATCAATTACAGGGGCGCTACTGACGAAAATTTGAATGAGCTGACAACTTGAATAAATTATTGCGAGCGAATTTATTGTTAATTCAGGCAAAATAAATGGACAATTGGACAAAAACATTGTAACTGACATGCGAAAAATATAATAAATCACGAACTGCGAAATAATGATGTATAGCGAAACGTACAACTATTAGACAAATGATTTTGACTGTGCGAAATTAATAATTCAGACTATGCGAAATTTTATACTTAGACCGAGCGCCACTGACTTAAGTGAAAATTTGTACATGACGAGAGGGCGTTGAAACTTGTTTGTTCCGCTCTCTCTGATAAAGGACCCGCGGTAGGGGTAGGCTAATTTGCATAGCCTCTTATGATTAACAGACGATAGCGGGGGAAAATCCGCGATTTTGGAAGAGATTTCCGGGAAGGACGAGTAGCGGAAAGACTCGTCCATTTTGTCACCCGCCGTAGCAGCAGCAACAGCACGACAGAACTCTCTCTCTCTCTCTCTACCAATTCGCCGAGGAATTAAGAGATTTTTGTAAGTTGCCGACATTTTCTTTGCAGGGCTGACTTTGCGGTGACGAGTGCCGCCTAATTGTGTAACGCGAGTGTGTTTTTGGTGCGTTGCGCGCGTTGTTTATCGGTTCGCGAGACGTGCGAATTCCGTCGTCGCAACCGTTGCAAATTCGCGCGAACGCTGGGCCGCCATCACCCCTCGCGTATTTAGGCGTTAACCGTCGCGCCGGTTTGTAAGGAACGCAAGTGGAATAAAGTGTTTTCTGACAAAAGTGACGTGATTTTGTTGCCAACCTTTCCCTTTTTCCGACTTTAGCAGGACTAGGAAGGAGCCAAAACCACGGACGACCGGCGGACATCTTGTGTGCGTGCGCTAATTGTTCCGACATTACTTTTCGCGATTTATAGCCGAGGCCGATACCTACCCCTGGATCGAGGTACATGCGTGGAGCTAGCCGTGGACCAAGGATAAGGATTTGTGGTGATTTTTAGGCTGTGGTGGAAGAGTGGAGCGTACCACTCACGTCGGTTGGCTTGAGCTGGGAAAAGCTCGCCTTGCCGACGTTTTCCCCGACGACTACCGATTTTCGGCTGTCTGGCGCCCTTCACAAAGTCGGGGAAACGCTCTCACTCGTTGGCCGAGGAGCCCGGAAGCCGAAGAAATTCCCCCGAGTTTCCTCTATCCAACAATTAAATAAATTAAAATAACTTTAAAAATAGCTTTGCTTATTTTCAAACTAATAAACAAACAAGCTGGGTATTTTTGATCTGCCATTTGCTCTGAACCAACAATAAGCTGTCGATGTAACATATCCATGAAATACCCAGGAAAATTTGCAGCATTATATTCTTTCAGAAACCATGGAGGAATTGATTAATACTGGGCAATTCAAGAATCTAGCTATAGAAGCAATATGGTCATCTGCTTCAAATGATGATTGAACTATTTTAATTTTTTTCTGATGTACAATATATATCTGAAAACTTCTTTGGTTAATAAAGGTACCCCCCCCCCCCAGGTGAGCTCAGAAAATGCTCCAAATTAAAAAAAAAAAATATTTTCCGATTGAGCTGATTTTGCTCGGTTGATCTACGTTTTCCGAATAATTTGCCCAATTTGCATTGAATTGGAATAAATTATCAAAGTGCAAAAATCTTACGCTAATTTGATTGAACAATCTTGAGACCGCAAAAAATTGCTCGCTTCCCAAATTAATTTGCCCTACGGTAAATAATTTAAAAATTGCATCCATTTCTATTAAAAAATTGTAATCCACATAGTTAACGTTTGATTTAATTCAAAAAACGCAATCTGCGCATGCGTCAATGTATTGATCAGTAGCAAGATGGAAGATCAGTCAGTGACACTGCTCCAAAATGTGCAATGCCTTTTGCATCATAAAATAACCACCTATTAAACAAAATTTAATATATTTCTCAAAAGTAGAATCAAATCACAACAGCAATGAATTTAAAAAATTTTAGGTAATGTATACGAGTTTGATAATTTTATTTTATTGTATTCCATCTTACATGATTATATATATATAGTAGAAGTGTATTGTAGAAGAATAATAGTAGAGCATCATATTTTATATTTGACATAAAAAATGATACTTATTTTCATACGTGGTAAAGTATTGTTACAATATAGTTTGTATGATTTTAATAGGTCATTTCGCTCTTTCCATTTGCCATTAATTGATCTACAAAAAGAAACGTAATGGCCAATACCATTTGGAGTTACTGGTGGTAAGTACCTTATTACTCCACATAGCAAATATGTTTGATTTTTAATCACCAATTTTTCTAGGATATCAGTTAATTGCGAAGTTAGATTTTTTGCATCACAGAGCTGCTCATTTATTGAATACTGTATTGCAAAAACTGTTACCTGTGATTAGTCAACGAGGAAGTGACATACTCAGTGATGTGTTGAAATTTGAATGGAGCACTTTTGGAAGAAAGCTATCAGTACAAGACATAAATAAAATCGAGGAGATTATTAATTATACTAATGAAGAAGATGTACCAATCAGAACGAAAACTATGAATTTACTGCAAATGTTAAATGGAGATAATTTGACTATAATTCCTGGTGAAGTTTATCCTGATAAAGGAATAAGAATTGTTGAATTACAGAGTGACAGCTTAAGTTCAAAGTAAAATTGCACAAATTGTTGGAAAAAAACCAAGAGAAAAAATATCGCTAATCTTTATTTATTATATATTTGTTTATTTTTCTGGTTTTTCAACATCTTACAGATGGAATGCAAATTGTGTATCCGATCCTCGAGCAGAGAAGAGATCTTCATATACTGTAAAGGAAAAAAGACTTGTATTATAAAGATGAACTAATTAGAAGGTAATTAATATATTTACCTATAAAATTATTCCATAAGATTCCTTAAATTTTTCAATAAGTAAAATATCGTTTTGTAGGACATTTATAAAACTGGTAGTCCAACATCTTCGCAAGGTATCCAAATAATAATCATCACATGAATCATGATAATTAAGCTCTATTTCCAGTTTTTTGGTGAATAATCCAATTGTACTCCTGTACGCTACACTATTTTTTGGTAGAAAAAGTTATGATAAATTACATTCTCTAATAAAATTTTTGAAAATTCGATTTCTAAATATGTTGTTGTCTTCATGAACAAGAAAATAAATAGGCACTGAGTCGTTTTTTATAACTGTAGCATGATATTTCGAAATGTCATGTAGAACAAAATGTCTTAAGTAAAATGCAAAATCTTCTGCAACAAAATCCTCAACGTCTATTATTCCATTCAAATTTTCATATTCAGTCATCCACAATAGTAAGTTGTACACTATAGAGTCAGGTTTAATTTTCAATACATGTAAATAAATGAAATATGGACTTCTACGCTCTGATCTCTGAAATAATTCAACATTTTTTTTGTGCTCTCAGAGTACATGTCAGTTTCTTCAATTTTGTCAATTTCTAATTGAACATCCCATTTAGGTCTTTCATTTTTAAGAATTCCAATACTTCTATTAAATAAAAATGTATAAATAGAAGTTTTCATTGTTATTATTAATTAATTTTTATTAATAGACAAATAATGATCGAACTAGCACAGCTGATGCAACGATAGATCGTCGCCATACCAGAACATCAAGTCACAGCTTTTAGACGGGGTTTTAAAAAAATGTTTACATAAATCAAAATTATAATACAAAACTTATTTATTCAATATATAAATTTATATAATTTTTTAATTACAATTTACAATTCATAATCATAAAATTTCACTTTGATTGTAATACAATTAAAAATAAATTTTCTTTAATAAGTGCCTATAGCAATGCCATCTTTGTATTATCAAGGGAATCGAAAAATTTTCTATAGGAAGTTTCAAATCTATTGAAACAAAGCAACTCAAAATTGCCTACATATACAGAGTCAGCCACATTTTTTCCCAGTCTTTTTATGATTAGTTTATCTGAAATACATTAAATAAAATATACAATCTAAAATATACAATAAAACATATAATCCAATAATTGTCACACTTGAAAATAGGCCAACAGCTGCCACTCAGATTATTCAATTTCATGTAGTCACAATAGATGATAGACACTTGCCCCACACAAAGAAATCTAAACTTAAAAAAAAACAAGATTAGTTGTTGAAAAAGATTTAATTAATCAATGCCCAAAACAATGGAGAAGGCAGCATGCAAAAATTTTAATGAACCATGGAGATGTAGAATCAGCACAGCTTTACAGTTTAAAACAATTGCAAACTGCTAGACAGAATGCTAGATCTAAAGATTTAGGAATAATACCTGGAGAAAAATTGTTTAATTCTTTAGAAATATTGAAGAGTGGTATAGAGTACAATAAATTTATAAAACTGATTGGCTATGATAAATTCTTCGTGATGTACTTTTCTCCAGAGCAGATAGACATACATAATGATATCCTCACTACGATCAATAATCCCCTCTCTTTAGATGCTACAGGATCTGTGACTTGCAAAATCAAAAGACCAACTGGAGATTCCAGCGATATATTTTTAACAGTTTTATGTACTTACATTGAAAATCTGATAGTTCCACTGGCTCAAGTATTGTCTGAGAAGAATGATACTATATTTTATATCTTCTGGCTGCATTGCTGGCTGCAGTGTGGTGCAAAGATTCCATCAGAAGTCGTAACAGACAGGGGCAAAGCTTTGCAGAATGCTTTAACACAAGCATTTAACTCAATCAATTTGAGTACATATAATGATTTGGGATTGAGAATAGCAGCAGGAGAATCTATAAGTATTGTTTTAAATACTCAATTGAAAACAGATATAGCACATGTGATTGGAGCAGTTTCAAGATGGCAATGCTTTAACAATACCAAATCTAAAGTATCTTTACTTTTTAAAAAATGCATTGGCTTCTTGACTACAATTACAACGCTGACAGATTTTACAAATTTTTTTAAAAACACTCTGACTATAGCACATAGCAAATATTGTACCAGCCTTTACATGAAAGCTATGGACAGTATCAAAGCTGTATTAAAAACTTTTGAATTGACTGAGAATGATTTGATATACGAAGGAAACAGTGATAATTTTGTAAATAAACTAGAAGAAGTAGAAGATAACGAAGACAGACTCACTTTGGCGTTTATAAAAAGAATTGAAAAATTTGTTTTGTTACAAGTAAAAAATGATGACCAATCTTTTATAGGTACACAAGAAAATGACTTTTATTTGCCAGAATTTGCTAAGAGTTTAATTGAAATATGTAAGGAATTTCCATGTTGGACGAATATTTTAAATTCTTATTTCAATAATGTAAGAACTGTAGCTTCCTCAGCTTGGTCTGAAGCACTTTTTAGTGATTTTAAAAATACTTCACAAAATTTTAGAGAAAGAGTAGATAAAGTTTTAATCAGGCATTGTAGTATTATTGAGGCAGACATTATATTAGCCAGAGCTGAGTTGGAAAAGTGGAAAAAAAATAATAACCAATCAAAACCAGTATTCGAAAGAAAACATGACATAGAATCTCATCTCAAAGCATTGGAAAATTGGCACAATAAAAATTGCTTAGATACTACTGACCGCTTAGTACTTTGTGACTTTGATGATTTAAAATTTGATGAAAGTGAAACAACTCAAGAAATAAATAAAAAAGAAACAAATATTACTGATAAATCTCAAATAAAAGATGATAATGTGTTAAACGAAAAAATAGAAAATACATCAAATGTACTGAATGATCACAATTATTCAAGCTTCATTATGGAAATCAAAGAACATTCAAGTTTTTCTTCACATGACACAAATTTAACAGACAATAAACTTTGTAATATTAACATTGCACCTCGGCTTAAAATTAAAGCAAATCAAGAGAATCGAGGTTTTTGTGTTGCTCCTGACCCAGAAATAGACATAAGGCTTCAGATTCCAGAGGGGGAAAAAAGAGAGATAGATCCAATATTCAAAATGGGAATAAGTTGAAACCGATAAAAATTCACAATAAGAAAATATTTTTCTTGAATACTTGTAGCATTGATGCTATAACAGAAATTCTAAGTAGTGCTTGCACCTACATGAAAGACTTTCATGAATTTATTTTAAGAAGTAAAAATACAATGCTTGCTAAAAATCACTTATGTTTTGCAACCATGGTTCATCATCATTTAGTATCAGGTGTCAATACTGCAATTTATTATACAAGGGCTCATTTGCTTCATTCGTTGTTTCCAATAGAAAATGGAGTTATAAATAGCATCACCAATGTGACCACTATGTTCACAAGATTAATGCAACAATATAGTTGTATGAAAAAAATTATCCATTGTGGTTCCTGTCATAATACAATTGAAATTGATGAATTAACCATCCTCTTACCCAATCTACATATTGTTTGGAACGATAAGTTTTCTAGTTTAGAACAAGAAATTAATAATTATTTAGAAAATGGGGTCGTGTCGTGTAACAATTGCACAAATCTACATGCTAACTATCAGTATGCATTAGGTCCATACCTAAGGATAGATAGCGATGATGCCTATAGAGAATCCACATATTCCAATATGCACAAAATTGATGCAAAAAATCTAACGTCGCAATTAACTGATATCCCAGAAAAATTGGTGATTAAACATCAAACATATTTGCTATGTGGAGTAATAAGGTACTTACCACCAGTAACTCCAAATGGTATTGGCCATTACGTTTCTTTTTGTAGATCAATTAATGGCAAATGGAAAGAGCGAAATGACCTATTAAAATCATACAAACTATATTGTAACAATACTTTACCACGTATGAAAATAAGTATCATTTTTTATGTCAAATATAAAATATGATGCTCTACTATTATTCTTCTACAATACACTTCTACTATATACATATATATATGTATATATTTGTTAGGAAATAAAAGGATAGGAAATTCCAAAGACTTACTTTGAAGATTTCGTATGAATCTCTGTTTTTAGTTGGGGCTTGGGGTTTCAAGCTTGACGACAACTTGTTGTTAAATAGTAGACTGCGACTATGGGGTTGAGACACCAGCTATAACTTTTTTTTTTTTTTTTTTTTTTTTTTTTAACAATTTCACTCACAAGATCGGAGGAGAATCTAGTTTTTATAGCTTCGCAGCATCCTGTCCGCAGCGCCAATTATGTTACAGGTAATTTTATAAATAACTTTATAAGAATTAATATATGCTTTAACAAGTTTATTAGCGTCTTTACAGCAAGAAAACCCGACAGAAACTGACGATAAGTAGATATGAAGAATGCACAATCAATAAAGAACAATGGACAATAGTGTTTATATAAAGTAGCCGATCGATATTGAAAGGTGCGAAGACACAGCAAGCAGCGAAGAAGAAGCAAACGGTGGTATCGATGATTATGACTGGGTGTTGTCATATAACTCGGGCAAGAGGGTGGCCTCGACTAGCCTAGAAACGGCGGCGCCAGACATCAGAACCGCTAAGAAAAAGAAAGATACTGGCAGCTATGCGGCGGTGGCATCTTTGAACCCTAGGGTGCTCCTGACATGTTCAGACTACCTGGGGGGGGGGGGGGTGAGATACCTAAAAGGACCTGTGAGCTGATCGAGAAGGCGGTGGTCAAGAAGATACTTGACTTGGAGGAAGGGGCTTTTGTACCCGGCTTCGAGGAATCCTTCCCGAGGAAAGGAGCGCTGGTGTTTGTTTGCAAGAACAAAGAATCGGCGGCCTGGCTCGAGAGGGAAGCCGAAAAGATAGACCTGGGAATACCGAGCGCAAAAGTTCGGGTGGTAAACCCAGATGAGGTTAAGATCACTAAAGTGATAGTGAGGCTACCCAAAGGGGTGGAATCTGCTCCGGATTTCCTGAAGCTGGTCCGGAGACAGAAGGGAGGGGTGGACACCAAAAAATGGGCGGTCCTGAAAAGCATGCCAGATGATGTGCTGATCTTGGGCCTGGATGAACGATCAGTGAACACCCTCAAGAACCGAAACTTCATGCTCTTGGCTGGGGTGGGAAAGGCTACCTTTAAGGTACTTGACCGCTCCAAACCCAACGAGACTGAAGAGTCGGGACAAGAGGGAACGCGGCGGATGAAGCATTAACAATGGCTCTCACCCGGATACGTTTCACTCAGATCAATTTACGGCATTCCAAAAACGCCTCTGCGGTACTGGCAAGGAGTATGGATAAGCTGCAGACAAACATAGCACTAATACCAGAGCCTTGGCTACGGCGAGGCAGTATTAGAGGCTTGAAAGCAAGAGAGCTAGAACTTTTTGTAGGGAACAATAATGGAGATGCACGTGCATGCATTTGCGTAAAAGGTATTAATGGATTTTTGTTACAGGAACTCAGTACCAGGGACTGTACAACCATTAAGGTTGAACTGGTGGACGAAGAGGGGCGGAGGAGGACAGTCGTTGTAACCTCGGCCTACTTACCTCACGAGAAAGACATCCCTACAATAGCGATGAGGAAGGTAATCGAGTACTGCCGATGCAGAAACCTTGAATTGATTATCGGATGTGACGCCAATGCCCATCACACGGCATGGGAAAGCACTGATATCACTACTGGAGTTTATTACAGGTACTCAAATAGTCATTATAAACCGAGGGAAAGAACCGACCTATGTAACGTCTGTTAGAAGGGAGGTCCTGGACCTCACTATGGTTTCAATGAACATCGGAGAGAGAGTGACTGGATGGAGGGTGGAAAAGGAGTTATCCATGTCAGATCACAGGACCATCACGTTTGGGTTAGAAGCATTAAGACCAAAGGTGGATCCTACAAGGAATCCCAAAAACACGGACTGGGAGGAATTTAAAGAGGAGCTGAAAGGGAGAGTGGCTCACTTAAAAGGTAAATATGGCAACAAAAAGGATCTGGACTGGACAGTTAAACAGTTACAGAATGCCTTGATGAAGTCATATGAGACAAACTGCCCACTTAAGGGAAGAGTTCAAACAAGCAACCCGCCGTGGTGGAATCAACACGTCGAGGCAGCGAGAAAGAAGGCTCGGAAAGCTTTTAACCGGGCCAAGAAAACTAACAGCGCGGAAGGATGGACCATCTATAAAGACGCGCTCAAGGACTTCAAAGCGGAAGTTAGCAAAGCAAAGAGTGGATCATGGCAGAATTTCTGTTCAAACGTAGAAAGTTTAACAGACACGGCGAAATTAGCCAGGATTCTGACCAAGAAAAATGGTGCCCGTCTTCAATGATTGAAGGATGGGCCTAACAATTAGACCGAAACAGAGGAGGATACTCTAGAACTCCTTATGAAGGCAAATTTTCCGGACTTCGTCAGGAAAGAGAATGAAATCGCGGGCACACAAGAGAACCAACAGGAACCCCGGGTAAGATTAGACTGGGGGACAGCGGCTCGGATCGTGACCCCAGAAAAAGTAGACTGGGCAATAAAATCTTTTGAACCGTATAAATCACCGGGATCAGATGGCATCTTTCCGAAAATACTACAGCAAGGATGTGACATTATCCTGGGAATGATGACGGGCATTATGAGAGGTTGTATTTCTACAGGCTACACACCTAAAGGATGGAAAAAAACACGAGTGGCGTTCATACCCAAGCCGGGAAGAAATGACTACTGGGAGGTTAAGAGTTTTAGGCCTATCAGCCTTACCTCATTCATGCTGAAAACACTGGAGAGATTAGTCGACCTATATATCAGGCAAGACATACTGATTCATCGACCACTCCATCGGAGACAGCATGCATACTCGACGGGATAGTCGACAGAGACCGCTTTACACACGGTAGTTGGCTACATCGAGAAAGCAATACTAACAAATGGTACAGCAATCGGAGCCTTTATAGACATAGAGGGAGCCTTTAGCAATACCACTAGGAACGCCATTGACAGAGCACTGGCGCAAAGGAACGTACCTGTATCTGTCCGGAGATAGATCAGGGGAATGCTGAGCGACAGGGAAGTCTTTAGTGAATGGAAAGGAAAAATAATACAGGGTACCATTAACCAAGGTTGTCCCCAGGGAGGGGTGTTATCACCACTTCTATGGATACTGGTTGTTGATGAGTTAATACAGATACTGGATGAGGACGGAGTCGTCACAGAAGGATATGCTGATGACTTCGTAATCTTAGTATCAGGTAAGTATGAGGAGGTTCTACCGGATCTCTTAGAGCAGGCCTTGAAAAAAGTACAGAGGTGGTGTGAGGCAAACTCTCTGGCTGTTAATCCTAACAAAACAGAGATTGTGGTCTTCACAAGGAAATACAAATGTAAGGTTAAGGAACTAATTACCTTCTACAGGCGACAGGTACCGTATGCAGAAGGGGTTAAATATCTGGGCGTTTACCTGGATAAGAAATTGTACTGGACGACGCATCTTCAGATGCAGTGCAGGAAGGTTCTGAACATGTTTATGCAGTGTAGGTCGGCAATTGGGACAGGTTGGGGACTGGATCCACAGAAAACTCTATGGATCTATAGAGCTATACTGATACCAAAGCTGACCTATGCAGCTATAGTATGGTGGAAAACTACGGAGAAGGTCACCTTACAGAAGGAGCTGGATCACATACAGGCAATTATTCTGAGGGGAACTTTTAGACTAAAAAGAAGCACACCTACGGCAGCAGTCAGAATGATGCTGGATGAAGCAGGACTAGACCTGGTAATTAAGGGATGTGCCGCTAAAGCAGCTTACAGACTGACTTGTCTTAAGGAGTGGGTAGAAAATGGGATGGGTCATACAACCATCAAAAAAATGCTACCTGGAGGGCTTTGTAGCGCAATACAGGATAAGATAAGCAAACACATTCTCTTTAGGAGGCGTTATAAGACGATCATACCAGAAAGAGAGAAATGGAGGAAAAATGAAGTACTTGGACACGGAGACATCTGGTTCACAGATTGGTCCAAAGGGGAAAACGGCACAGGCTTCGGAATATGCGGGCCTAAAAGGAGCCTAGACTCGAGCCATAAGCTGAGAGAATACAATACGGTATTCCAGGCGGAAATGGCTGCTATAGGAACCTGTGCGAGTAAGTTGCTACTGGAGAAAGTCGTAGGCAGAGTCATTAGAATCTGCACCGACAGTCAGGCGTCGATTATGGCCTTGGAAACTCCAATAAGCAACTCGGCACTAGTAAAAGAAGTGAAGAAAACTCTTAATGACTTGGCAGCTGGGAACAAACTCTACATTACTTGGATACCGGGACACTCGGGCTACAAAGGTAATGCAAGAGCGGATAAACTAGCTAAACAAGGAGCAGAGATGAAGGCGGCACCAACACGGGAGGTAGGAATGCCATACCGAGAGGGGTGCGGTAAAATAGATGAAACCTTGGAAAAGGAAAGATGGCACAACTGGAACCTCACCGAGGCATACAGATAGGCCAAAGAATTATTAGGGGACCACATTAATACGTGGGCTAAGGAGATTATAAACACGAAAAGGCAACAAGCAAGTAATATACTGGGTCTACTCACCGGTCACTGTGAGTTGCGATGTTATACAAACAAAACGCAGGGAACACCTAACCTGTGTATGTGGTGCCAAGAGGAAGAGGAAACTCCAAATCACTTCCTATGTAGATGCCCGGCACTAATGGATAAAAGACAGAAGTGGATGGGATGTGGTATCCTGGACAGAGAGTTTCGCGGGTACAAGCCTATCGAACATACTTGCTTTCAGCAAGGAGGTAGGCTTCTTCGAGTCTCGTGAGGATTAGATAGGGGGATAGGGATACAATGGATTATTCTAAGTGTCCCTGAGCTTATACAAGCACCCTAGATGGATCAATAATACAATAATACAATCTACAGACGTAAAAAAAGGAAATGGGAAAAGAATAAAATATTAGACATAGAAGCTCATAGAAAACAAAATAATTCTCGCGAGATGTATCGGGGAATCAATTCTATAAGAAAAGGTTATCAAAGTCGAACAGAAATAATGAGGGACGAAAATGGTAATTTAGTAGCCGACGCGGCCGAAAGCCTAAATCTATGAAAAAATTATTTTGACAAGTTACTGAACGTACACGAAACCCCTGTTGAAGGTAACCTTGACGAAATCCATACTTGCGATCTCCAAACAGATGAACCCAGCGATAGAGAAATAGAATCAGCGATAAAGAAACTGAAAAACAATAAAGCCGCGGGTATTGACGACTTGCCGTCCGAGCTAATAAAAAACGGGGGCCCTTGCCTCATAGAATATATTTGTAAATTAATACGCGCAATCTGGAAAGCAGAACGCATTCCGGAACAATGGAATACATCTATTATTATACCAGTTTACAAAAAAGGAGATAAAACAGACTGTAATAACTATCGGGGAATTTCAATTGTTCTTGTATGCTATAAGATTCTTTCCAATGTCGTCTTATCAAGACTTACTCCTTATGCTGAAGAAATCATTGGAGATTACCAGTGTGGATTCCGCCAAAATCGGTCTACAAGCGACCAAATGTTTACGATAAGACAACTGCTAGAAAAGAAATGGGAATACAATAAAGCAATACACCAGCTATTTGTCGATTTCAAAAAGGCATACGACTCGATTATACGCGCGCGAATGTACTGGATCCTCGAATTTTTGGGAATACCAAAGAAATTAGTCAAGTTGATCGAAATCTGTTTGAGTGGCAAAAAGGGTAGAATACGCGTGGCAGGAATTTTATCTGAAGAATTCTCTATCCATGATGGCCTGAAACAGGGGGATGCACTATCGTGCATTCTTTTCAATTTAGTTTTAGAATACGTAGTTAGACAGGTGCAAGCTAACCCAACCGGCGCTACTCTGAATGGAATAATACAAATTCTTCGATATGCGGACGATCTCGACTTACTCGAAAATAATAAAGAAACGATTGCTAGAAATACAGATATCCTTATTACAAAGGCGAGAGAGGTAGGTTTGGAAGTTAGTGAATCGAAAACGAAATATTTGGTAGTTGATAGATCAGGACGGAGTGATGAGGAAAGGGATTTAACGGTAGGAAATATGAAATTTGGAAAAGTTGACGAATTTAAGTACTTGGGAACTATGATAACTAGCGATAATAAAATTAAAATGGAAATCGACAAACGACTGCACGCTGGGAACGGATGCTACTGGGCAACAAACAAGCTACTGAAATCACGATTGCTATCTCGTAACATAAAAATTAGAATCTATAAAACAATAATAATGCCTATTATTATGTACGGATGCGAAACATGGGCACTGACGAAATGCGAAGAAAATAGGTTTAGAGTATTTGAGAACAAAGTACTTAGAAAAATTTATGGGCCTAAAAGGGACGAAGCAACTGGGGAATGGAGAAAACTTCATAATGATGAGCTGCATGCCCTCTATAACTCACCTAGTATTAACAGGATAATGGAAGCGCGTAAATTAAGATGGGCAGGACATGTAGCTAGAATGGGCGACGAAAGAACGGCCGCGAGAGTATTGAGAGGTCAACCGACCAGTACGAGGCCTTTAGGCAGGCCAAGAAATAGGTGGGAGAAAAACCTAAACGACGACTTGAATAAATTAGGCTATGAGAGCGCAACCTGGATGGAAGATGCCCCAGATAGAGAGGTTTGGCGGTCTGGGGTGGATGAAGCTATGAACTTTCGAGTTCCAAAAGCTAAATAATAATAATAATAAGCTGAACTACAATTCAGGAGATGTTTTACATTGAACCTGGAATATCTCAACGGTCTTTCAGATCATACTTGAGCCTTGTATTTCAAACTCATTACTGAAGTGAAATTTGCCAAATGAATTCGACAAATGCTCAGACATTATAAATCTTTTATTGTATTTTGCGACAAAAGTTATTAGGTATGAATTGAAACACTATATAGTTGATTATTATAATTCAATATTTTTAATTTATTCAATCTAATATAACAATACTTCAGAGACTCGACAATCCTTCAATCTTTGAACTATATTGGTAGAACTAATTTTTGTATTCAATCTGATTTTGTAGTTTATTTGTAATTGCAAATTGATTTTTGGTATCAAATCGTTGGAATGCTTTCCTCGATTCTAAAGTTGTTATTATAAAATCGTTTCTATTTTCTATTCCACATACTTTTGCTAGAAGCTTCTGTAACGAGCTTAACTAAACGTTCTACAGCTACGGTATGGCATGGAAATTCGCAAAATTCCTAGTTTGTGAAAAATTCCTGACTTGATAAACTTGTAGTTAATTCTTCATTGCTAATTTTCATCAAAACTGGCGGTAATGTATAACGTGAAGTAGACCAGTCTATCATTTCATAGTAATTTGTAGCAGTAAAGTTAATTGCTGGAAGCTTACGATATTTTTTGTCCATTGTGTAACTGTCTGCTTCTAATCTAACAGCGATAATTCGTTTCAAAGCCATTTGGCGAACAGTCAGATTTTCATCAGTCATCATAGCAAGTAGAATATTTTCAGGCATCGCGAAAAATGAATTTCATGCAATGGCTTTATCTACAACATCCAATAGTGCTGGAGAGAGATATCTTGTTAAGCGTATTGTTTCAAAGAGATGTCGAGATCCTTCTGCAATAGACTTATTTTTTCTGATAGAAAACCATTGTGGTACATATACTTTTGATAAGAAAGTAACTAAATTGATTAATTCAGCACTTGGATTTGGCGTTGAAATATATAATCGAAGAACGCGATTGGCTCAAGTTAGACAGCGTGCATGGTTTAGACAACCTGGTTGATTTGAGCTCAAATCTTCCGAGCATTCACCTGCTCCAATGGCTTTTGCAATTTGCAATAAATACTTTTGGTCCGTGCTCAAATCGTCAATGTCAATGTCAATGTCAGGCAAACTGAATTCGATTTTTTCAAAGCTAACCACAGGCAAAGTTTCACACAAATTTAACTGTTTACCAATTAAACCAGTAAATGATTTTGGTCCATCAGTTCTTCCATCAATGTGCTGAAAGAGAGCACGAAAAGTCAATTCGTTGAAATGTAAAAGGCAAATACTCCATTGAAATGGCCTATTAATTTTGGTTTCAATATTTCTGATAACTCTTCCTTTATGCCCGGTGTTCCCGACAGTGCCATCACATCCAACTAAAATTAATTCTTCAGAGCCTCCTTTTTTCGAAACCAGATCCAAAATTCCATTACAAATAGTATTGGCACTAGATGATTCTGTTACAACGTGACCAAGGTAACATGATTCGGGTTCCGATAATACAGATATATGTTCTTCCTTAACGGTCATTCTCCGGTACTTTGATCCTTTCTTTACTTGAACAATGGTATTGTCTTTTCGGCCATCAAAATATAAACCACGGATAACATTTTCATCTCGAAAATTTTGAATTTCCTTATTTACTTTTTTCTTACTACGCCTGATCTTATTTCTATCTACTACCAAATCATTATCTTGTTCTGTCACTAAATCATGGTCGACTAAGGTAGCTGAAGAAATAGCTGCAAGAGCTCTTTCGCTTACGTTAAACTGCTGGCCAACAATGACTGTTTCAAATAACTTACATTTACTGTTTTTCACACTCGCTTCTGGTATTGTAAATCCTTCAGAATCATTGTTTACTATCTTCAAGCTATTCGGATCAGATGACTGGCTTGATTGACTTGACTGGACTGAAGTTTGCGAATCACATTTTGGAAGATCATTGGTATCAAGCGCCGACGAAATTTTTAGCTTCCGTCCACTTCTTTGATCGAGTATGAAATTCCATGCACTTTCTGGTATTTTTTGTTCAGCCGGACATTGGCAATTTGTCAAATCTGAACATTTGTATGAAGAAATGTCAAAAAGTCTGTTCAAACTCTGACCGAATTTGTCAATTCGTGTTTTGTCTGACTCTCTTTTATTTGCTAAAACTTTCTTGATGTTGTTGTACTTTTGATGAATGCTAACAATTAACTGCTTAACTCTATTGAGAGTTACACTAGGAATCGAAGCATTTTCATATAATTTGATCACTTCTTCAGCTACTGCTTGACAGATATCTGTGAAAGTTGGTTCTTTATTAACCTTAGATAGTTTACCCAAAAGTAACCGTCGATTGTTACAACAAAGTAGTACATCTTTATATGTCGGCAACAGTGTAGAACATAATTCTTTCGGTCTACCAAGCAAAGGACAAGTAGATGCTATTCTTGTGAATTTTGACGTAGTTGCAGGCATAGTTATATCCAATTCAAATCATGAACATCTGAAATAATTATTATGAATAAATATGCATGAATAAAACTTAACGAATCAAACTATAATTTTGTCCATACTGCGTCAATGAAAATCAAAATATGTTGCCAGCACATCATGTAGCACTAATACACAGAACTATGTCTTCTTTATCATTTCCAGATCTACGTAATGCTACAAAAAAAATTCACGTATTATTCAACTGAGAAA